TTCCGAACCGGCGCAGTATGCCATGTGGGCATCCTGCCGCGATTGGTCTTTTTTCGGATGGTGTCTATTTATCCCGTTATTGGGCACTGTTCCCTGCAAAGATCAGCAGCGGAGGTTTCGTTCCGAAGTTGCCGTCTGCAGTTTGTCTCCCATTGTCTTAAATCACCGATGGGCATCCGAGAGAGCATGGCATTTGGGCCTCTGCACCTATCCCTACAACTTTTCTCTCCATCCGCATTTTATCTTATCCTTCTTTTTTATAAGCTGGTTCTGCCAAGACTCTTTTCTTTTACGCTAGCACCTTTGGCCAGCACTTTACTAGGAAACACGCAAAATAGTATGTAGCCCATTGTGTATAGGTTAATAAAAATAATATCAAATATGGTAAAGAAACTTGGGATCATCCTGGTACCTGTTTTATATTTCACATTTTAAATTTAATTTTAAACTATAAACTGTAAGTCATAGAATCGCGTTATAAACTCCGTAACGTAATCGTATCCGTATTCGTAAATGTTTGCTGCACTGGATCTATAGCAATAGTTATAAAATACCCTTAAGCTGTTTCTGTATCCGTAAGGAAACAAACTTTTTTACCGCTTATGAAGCAGTCCATTGTGAGCATGCGCAAAATCATCTGCTAACGTTGCCAGATCTAACGCTATAGTGAATTATTTGTTCATTAATAAATAAATTACAATTGATACCTACAAACAATTTAGGAACGATGGTGAAAGAGAAAAAGATGGCGGTGTCCGTATTATCGATAGTATCGTAACAGAAAGATCTATGATTTTAAAATATGCGTTTTTAAGAAAAAAGAAGGGTCTCAATCGTAAAATTTAACCATAAAATGGATAATCTTGCCGACAGAGCATTCAAAGTAGCCACGAAAAAAATTAGAATGCCGGATACCATTCGAAAAAATTCGAGAAGACATTTACATCACGGCGTAAACTAACTTGCGCTTTCACAACTTCTAAATTTTTAATTCATAAAACCACATAATGGAGCCTTAAACGAAAATATCTGAGACATGGAGGACGCCGTGTTACTTTCCACAGTAAACTACTGCTACGAGCGGCCGTTCTTGCCGTTCGACGGAGAAAATAATTGTAATACGCTAAATTCATATATATAATCATAAATTCTTTCAAAATATATCCCTTATAGAAAATTATTGTCAAATCCGTACAATATATAATACAGTACTTAAAATTATATTGGCCAAGTTTTCATATTAACAATGAGGGTGAAATCAATTTATTTTGTTAAAAATTTGTCATTTTTTTCGAATGATATAAATAAAAGTTTTGAAGACTGAAAAAGAACGTGTAGAACATTTAAAAAGCAAACCTTTTGAATTGAAAAAAACATTAAAACTTAGAAATTTTATACAAATAAAATTTATGTTCGTAAGCCAATGTTACATTTTGTTTTATTACATAAAAAAGTCTAATAACCAGTTTCGTAACTTTTCTTCGTAAACCACTAAGACACTAGCAGAAAGTTAAAATTGTGTCTGGCACCACCTTTTATCAGCATTTATTTTAAAAAATTATTATTATTATTAATTATTATAAAATGGCAACACGCTTTTGCGAGTAGAAATGAGTTTTATAAAAAATTGTAAATGATAATGACGAGTAAATTCTTCATTACGTCAGACCGCACTTCATGTATACGGCATATTACCTCCTCTATCTCTCACTCATCCAAAGTTTTTACAAAAATTTCATAGCTTCGATGCCCTTTATACACAAGCTACCGTGTCAAATTTCGTTTCTTCATATCCCATCCTGAGAATAAACGAAATAAACACCAACACACACACACACATTTGCATTGAATTTTTTCCTCCTATTTTTGACTTTTCGGGTTCGGGAAATCTGAAAACCTGGATTTGAAAAAGCACAGGGGGTCAAATTTCACACGATTCCAACAATTTACCGTGTTCTATACGTAACAGCCAGGAAAGTAAATCGTACCTTACAGATAAGCTCGGCGATGCCATTGTATGTCCTATTGTGAAGGTTCAGATTACAAATTGAACAGATATTCATTTCTCTTTTGGACAGGAAAAAGAATGCATTGATTTGAAATGTATTTGTTTTCGGAAATTATTCAGTAACAAAATTTTGTGATGTGAGAAATAAGCAAGACATGTATGAAAGGTGAATTTGAAAATAAAATTTAAAACACTTCTTTACATACAATATTGCGTGTTTTTCTGAACGGAGAATATACATAAAGATTTTTAGCAGTGTCCGCCCTATAGCATTCGACATACAGTTGACCATTAAAAAAACATTTTTAGTTTAATTCAGTCGTTATAAATTAAAGTGGTATAAGTCTATTTTTGAAAAAAAAAATAAGTTAGGAATAGTTTTAAGGAGACATAGATGTCTTTTTTAATTTATTTAATAATACAGTCAATGGTGTACAACATCTTCATAAATTAATGAAAAGAGTATTGACTGTAAAATGTAATAGAAGAATGTTTTTTTTTGAAAGTGGAATAAATCTATACGTATTATTTTTTTACATTAAAACGAGCAATTATATATCGCGACATCATCACAATGCAAGCTGCAGTTTTTAATCAAATCATGTTATCAGTTTCATTTTAAATATATGCTTTCCATCTCAAATTGGTAGTGACTTTACCCTGTACATCATATTTATTCTGTTAACAACAGAGTCGTGTCGGTCATCTATTTAACACGTTCCAGGGAAAAGTTTTTGAATTGGTTAGGTTAGGTTTGCGTAGTTTAGGTTATCGTATATAGTTAATAGGAGCTTCTTAGCCCTAAAGTGTCCGAATCTAGTCTCGGCTTTCATTCATCCAACTCCGTTCTCATGATTAAGGAATGACAGACAAACAGAAGGACGACAATGAGAATTTATATGTCTACTATCTTTTCAAATTGCAGCCCAAAAATACATTCGACAAAAGTTAACGTTAATCAAATTATAAATTTAAAATTGTTATTATTCATATTTTTCACAATTTGTTATTATTGAAAATGGTATAAGTCCATATGTACACAAAAAATTCGTTTATTATCTTTAACAATTTTATTAATTATTACGTAGTAAAATTTAACAAGTTTATAGTTTTGAAAATATTACTTGAATTTATATACGTTTGTCAATATTTTTCGGTTGATTTAAACGCAAGCCCTTAAATATCTGAATGTATGAATAAATGGACTCATACCACTTTCATTTATAACGAATGGCCCAGTTGTAGGCTAACAACTTCAATCGTTTTTTTTGTGATTCATTAACTGACATGGCAAAGATTAACTTTGCCGTGTCTTATTGGAATTGTAAGAGTTCAAATAGAAATGGCACGTCCGTTATTATCAGAGGTATCCTAGGAATAAACGAACTCCCAGAAGGCATCCCCCTAGGAAACACTTCCAGATGTTGCGTTGCCATAACTTAATAAACAGCAACAACAACTAGGAATAAAAGTAGGCCTATATTCATTCTTTCCACGATCTGTATTTGCGCTTCAACGACGGGAGGTTATAATGCTTTCATTATCAATCTCTGTTACCATTGCAGAGCTTAGGATGATCGAAATTTCGTATAAAGATTATAGGGCCTCGAACTTTATGTTATACTTTGTAAGGAGGCAATCCTGGATATTCCAGATAATGTAAGAACTCCGTTGTATATACGACACGTTCATTTCGATCTCTAACTGAATCAATGTATTTCTAAATATAAGAATCACCTGGGATATCATGCAGTAGGTGTAGGTTGATAGAATTAAGTGCCAAATCTTTCACTGCCACTATTGCTATTTCACTCAACCTGCTAAAGACTAAAGTTAGTAAACATCCTTTTGATTAATTCATTTACACTTTGCACTACTGTACTGATTTTACATAAATGACTTAATTGTCAGAATCCAGAAATTTTCCATCTCAAAGTTGTAGAAAATTATGAGCGAATATATCTGAATTGTGGTCACCATAAATTGCTTCTCGCAGGTTAGTTGTAAGCTTAAAGGTTATAACATCATAACACAAACAGGAGGATTTTAGACATGCTCGAATATCAAGCTTTTGTTTATTTATATATAACTGGCAAGGTCTGGCAAAATTTTCCAGATAAGACAACAGTTATACCGCCCATCAGTGTCTTATTATTTCTAACATCTTGTAGTGTTTTATTCAAAAACCAACAATGTATTAACAAGAGACCAACAACAATTAGCATTTATTTACTATTTTCGCACATAGATACGTGTAAATCCAATAAATTCAATGTAAACAGAAATTAATTGATATTATGAATCCAATCAATATTTTCCGATATGATATATTACATTATATAAGTCAGAACGTAACTGCCAAGTTTCGTAGAATTGCTCGAATGGCCTTTGCGTGTATAGCGAACGAACGAACAAACAAACATTCTCATTTATACAGGGTGAGCCAAAAGTCACTTTACGGTTTAAAAATTAAATAACTTTTTTGCTTTTTTATTATATTATATTTTTTCAGATTTTTAAAATACGGAATTCGGAAATAAATTATGGTTAAGGGTAAATTAAGGCTGGAACAATGTGCAGCTGTTAAGGCAAATTTTCGGAGAAACAATAATTTCCAGAAACGCGGTGTTTCGTTGGGATATTTAAACAGCGAGTGGTCATTAATAAGCTCGAACTATTGCTGAGCTGAAAAACAATATTCGTCAGGAAATTCGAATGATAAACTGAGTCATTTTGCAAACAGTTATGGAGAGAGCACGCCTTTGTGAAGAGGAAAACGGGGGTCATTTAAAATTGTTTATTCCAAAGAATCTTCTGCATTTTCGGAAGCAGAACTTTTCGTTACCAAATCCATAAGAACCAATCGTTATAAGAACCAAATCCAGTGATCGGAGTATTGACCATCTTTTCTTTTTAAAATGTTATCATAAAAATTTGCAATAATATTTTGTATTATGTTTTATTTATAAAACGAAAATTATCTTCTAAAAGTTTGATCTAAGGTCATTTTTTTTCTTTAAATTTTCAACTCAGTTCAAAGGCATATTTCTTTTTGTTGTAAACAGTTTCCTAGAAATTTTAAATTTTCTAGGGGAAATTAGAATAATAAGGAAGTTAGGATATAAAGGAATCCAAAAAACAATCCCGTTTTTGCAAGTAAAATGGAATAATATTTCCTGTAAAAGCGATAACATTGTGTTAGAAATTATCATTTAAAAATTGAAGAATGTAAAAAATATTTACGTAAATATTATTTTTCTGCTTTGGAGGATAGTCGAGTCGTCTTCCTTCAAAACAAATCTCCTGATGCCCAGAAAGTAATCTTTCATGTATTGGTCCCAATCGAGTTTCGAGATGTCAAAGTCAAAATTCTGAAATATAATTTCGATTATTTTGCATATTTTGTGAGTATTCATTTAGTTTCTGTTAATTAAAAACAAATAAAATTCACATATATTTTTGTTATCGAATTAGTGCCGTTGTCGGATTTCAATGACTTTTCAAACTAAAGATGTCAGATTCAACTAGCTTGTATAATAATAGAAGGTATTCAAAATAGTTATACTTATTAAACGTATTATTAATTCACAGAAATAATAACAGCTTATATTTTGTTGCTGTCATTCTTTACATTAATCTGTTTCTTCTGTTAATAGAATGTCTGATGTAAATGAATAAAAGAAAATTGTTATTTTGTAGTTGTGTAATGGCGATTTGACTCGATATGCTTTAAGATTTGGATATGTTGATGCAAAATTTGATTATTTTCAAAAATACACCTTCAAAACGCAGCTAATGGCGAATTTCATCAACAACGGAAAGGCACTACAACACATTGAATTAAAAATAACAATAACAGTAAAATGTTGTATTAAAATTAGTGTTTTATTTGTAAAAAATATTAAGGTAATGATTTAATATAACGCAAATTGTCAGAAGTATATCACGTAAACAGCAACAATGAATGGCTTTCAATGGATACCAGCACTTTTCTCTTATTGTTTTATTCTGAGAAATTTACTTTTTTAACATTTGAACCTCTTAAAAAGAAATGTTCAAATTGTTTTTGTTAACATAGAAAATCCCTTTTGTTGATTTGGTGTAAATGGTATTTACACAAACGTATTTCTGTACATGCCATAACACCAAATACTGTCTTTTCTCCAAAAGACAAGCTTCAGCACCGAGTTCTATATTACTTTCTCAAACTTTAATTTTTACGAATCGAGCGAATGTATCAAAAATTTAAGAAAACAAAATATAAAATGAAACGAATAAATTCGAAAAATGATACTAAGTATGAATCTTTTTAAAGTTTTTTATTCATTTTGTTTCGGACAGCTTGAAGTATTCCTGGAGATATGGAAATACGAAATATGCTACATGAAAGTGTTCGATCTGACATACTGAGTTACCGGAGAACGGAGTACACATATAATGAATTCTTGTATTGTGTTACTACTCATATGTATAGATCTTGTGTTATACAGTCGACCCTTTTATAACACTGTTGATAATTCCGTTTTATACGAATTCCATGTTGTACGAGTCACTTAGATTTTACAAATACGTGTCCCAGGCTGTAAACGGCTCACGTATTTATAAAATCTAAGTGACTCGTACAACATGGAATTCGTATAAAACGGAATTATCAACAGTGTTATAGGGGGGTCGACTTGTATGTTACACAAACTCTTTCTTCCGTGCAAATACTTTCGCTTTTTATATGGGTAAATGCTTTTTGTTGTAGCCTAGACTTTAGCTGAAATGAGCCAAATTTCGGTCTACCTTCCACGCCCACTTTTTTCTGAGGAGAAAAGTTTAGGTCTGTCAGGCGCAATTTCGTTATCTTGTTGAACGTCATTAGTCAAAACTTGTCGGGGAAGGCTGATATTTTAGACTAATACTTTTTAAAATTATTATCAAAATAACATTAGAAAGTAAAGGTATGTTTAAATATTGTTTAATATAATTATAATTCACATATAAGAATAAAATCCTTTGTAATTCAGCAGAGAGTTTATTATGGAAAAACATTTATTTAGTTTTAATGTATATATGTTTAATTGATTAAGTATTTACAGTTTTAAGTGCTTCGATTTAACATCAATAAATTAACACAATGATGTATAATAATTAAATGGTCGAACTTAATGGAGATGCTATTAGTTATTAGCATTTATTTTTTCTACGAAACTCGTCACTAACCACAAAATTAAGTCTTTTGCCAATTTATAATAATTAAAAATATTCTAATTCAAACTGTAATGTAAAAGTTATTTTTTAACCGCCACTTGTTGAATTTTTTGTTTCTTGCTGCACGTTAATTAGCCGATCAAAACTGGATTCCTACTAACCTTTGTACGGCTTACAACTTTCTAATTGACAGTTTTGGTATTGAATGTACGTTTTTAAAGATATTTTTTAAAGATTCCGAAAATGCCTTTATAGGTTAAATTTATGGCCACCGTTGGACTCGGCGCACATCTAAATATATAAAATTGCTTGTCCTGACTGACTGACTGAATGACTCACTCATTCACTCACTGATTCATCATCGCCCAGAGCAGACCGCTTAATCTAAAGAGGTGAAATTTGGTAGACAGTTAGGGTACCTCATGGAAACGCTCACTAAGAAGGGATTTTTCGAAATTCCCCCGCGGGGGGGAGAGGGAGAGCATTAAGGCTTAACCGGAACAACGGCTTCTACTGTGCTATTTTAGATGCGATTTCTTGTTTTTATCTGCGTTATATTAGGGTATGCCATGGCAATGCACACTAAGAAGGGATTTTTCCAAATCTCCAGCGGGCGGGAGAGGGAGAGGGTTTAGTCTTCATCGAGTACTTAGGTGTATTAAATTAATAACATTTCAGACATTGTTATAAATATTTTTATATATTTCGATTTTAAAAATGTTCGAACCGTTTTAAATTCGAATTTGTTATTGCATATGGATTCTATTATAGAACGATTGTAAACGTTCCAGAAAATTGATCAAATTAAAAATAGTTCGTTTGATTCTCGGCAATTCTCATCATTCTAAGCGGTAGGTGTTATATAACAATTACTATGGTTGTTGAAATACTAAATATAAATGGGGTTTGGTCGCAAAATCCGCGCGGGCAAAGCCGCGAGTAACAGCTAGTTATAACATATACTTCAATTGTTTATATAAGCGTGATATTATCTGTAATCTGTAGGAACATTACAATACTTTTATTCAGACTTTTCGGACTGTGTATAAGTAACTGTATTAATTACTGTATATTACCATATTTAATATTTCATTAGAAGATGATGATAATTCGTGTAACAGAGTATTTCGTTGACTCCAAAATTCTTCTTAATCCCTAACACTCATTTGGTAATGGTCAACTGTACTAGTCATAATATACTACCTACTTTAATAGAAATTAATCTTACCTGTTTATCTTGTGTCGACATCATTTTCAGCAATTCCCCCACGTTTCCTGCAGGAAACGTCCATTCTCTTGTAGTAAAGTATTCTATAAGTTTCATCCTCTTCTGAACTTTGTTGTAGACGGTCATCATCCTAAATTGAAAACGATGTAAATATAATTTAATATGTTTTACAATAAGTAAGCACATTTCAAATAACATACTTTGGTTTCCTGCCAATAGCAACTCGAAATACATCGGTTAGCATTGCAGGAAGTCGATGTTGCATCGCAATACATACTCGATTCCAATAATAACTCTTCTTGGGTATATTTGTTGGATATAAAAAGGTATTCTCTGAGGGATATTTCCAATAATACGTATTTAAACATTTGAAAAACCGTTGCCAAGTGAAAGGATTTATGGATCCTGAAGTGCAATTGTAAACTGGAATTTCATCTTCTCTGAAAGAGAGTAAAATTTTTCTGAAATATATCTAAAGATTATTTTAACATTTTTACAACAGATTAATAATAGTTGAATCGTAATATCTGTCCCTACTTTTTAGAAAAACGAATTATCTTAAATGTTTTTCTTCTTTCATAGGAATCTATATAGAATCTACTTTTTAGAAAAACGAATTATTATCTTAAATGTTTTTCTTCTTTCATAGAAATCTATATATTAATTTGTCAAGCCTCAAATATTGTCCAATTTACTTTCAGAGAACGGTTGAAAATACATAGTTTAGGTGTCAATTTTACAACGTGATTGACAGGATGCGGGTTGCCATTACAGTCACCGTTAATCGAAAGCTACGCCAGTCGAAGTTTATCAGCCTTAAAAATGCCAAATTGTCATGCTGGGAGCTGGATAGAAAATCGAAGGAAGCCATACCGACAAGACCAGTGAGAAAAACTTCGTCACACCAGACAATAAGCAAAGGCGAATCATCCGCAACCAAACCTGGAAAACATCTGCTATCTGATAATTTTTTCGGTTGAAAATTTTGACGATTGACTTCTGTAATTTTCTACAAATTTTCCACGCTACTAAACGTTCGTGTAAAGTTAACGAATTTGATTTTTAAAATTCGAAAAAGTGGGAAAATAGAATAATTCAACAAAATTATAACACAAAAAATTCTTGGTGCTATTCGAATTTTATCGCATAGATAAAGCATTACATTTTCAAATCCATATGCTGGTGACATAGCCAAGCACGTTACGGATAAATTAAAAGGTAGATGTAGCGTTCTGTTTCGAAAGGAAATTAATTCGATGGCTGTCTATTGTACTTTTTGAAATGGAGGTTGTATATTACAGTGAAAGCTCTAGAAAGAGTAGGAGTTGTGCAAACAAACATTCTTGTTATCGCGAAAAGCTCGAAGACATCACAAAAGTTCTTTTGTGTACGCATATTTTTTTTTTATCAGATCATGGAGTGGCTAATGACGTCTGATAAAGACTGTGACGACGACTGAAGCTCAAACACACTGACTTATTGTTCGCTTAAC